AAAGTCCTTAGTGATTATCCAATGAAATCCCATTACCTCTTTTTCTTGATCAAGTCACACAGTATTTGATCTTAGTCTATTACTGTTTCTGCTGTGGTTCTTAATTTTCAATTGTTCTCCATCCAGCACATTTTCCTCTTGGTTTTCCATATTATAGACAGTTTCAGTCAATTCTCTGCTTAGGGACTGCTGTCAGCCAGCTTTGAGCTTGTTTTCTCACCTAGGAAGTTCTGATTTGAACATCCCTTTGGGTGTTGACTGACACAGATATCCTATGGCAGTTGCCCTGTTCAATCCAAGACAAAGATGGTATTAAGCTGAAAGTTAATGAAAACCTATAAATTCCCACAGTTGTCTGTTCATCTGTCTGTCTTTCCTTTCTTGAGAATGGAGTTAGATAGATGAAATCTAAGACCAGATATGGAAACCTTACGGACAGGGGGCCTCGATTAACTATATATGAACTTCTGATGCAAACTATTAGTCACATTATTTCAATCAAAAACTTTTCCCTTGAAAGTAGTTAATAGATGAGATAAATTTAAGATGAAGAGCATATATTTTAAAGTAAATAAATTAAAAATGATTAAAAATTGCAGCTTGGCACTGTGACGTCACAATAAATAATTGCTCGTATTGAATATGCTTTTAATTAATCCTACATTTGGCAATATTTAATTATGTTTTATCTTAATCTAAAAATAATATAAAAAATTATTTCTTTATCATCAGTTATATGGAATGATTAAATTATACCTTTCATCATTATTCAAAGTTTTAAGAAAATAAATCTTTAATGATAAAATTGAAAAAGAGTAATATGATCACTATTTTGTGGTTACATTTTTAAAGTATGTGTATAAGTAAAGATTTCTGCACATACTCATAGGATTATCTCACAGAAATATATTAAAATTCAAAGAGATGTTCTGCAAATGTTTAAATAGTTTGAACAAAAAAATGTTTATAGTAATATGTTATGGAGATGAATATGTAAAAAGTGCTCTTAATTTAGAATTTTAAGAACACTGTCTATCGGCATTAATAAAGTTTTAATGAGTAAAACACAAAAACAAAAAAAATATCTTGCAAGCACTTTTGACATTTATAGAATGTCTTCTACAGGTGAAATGAACACAAATTTTAGAACATTGTAAAGTTTTAACTTTTAAAATTTATATCAATCTCCATGAAACTCCTGGTATAAAGCAATAAAAATACATTATTACCAATTGTTTTTCATTTAATTCTAAATTTAATAAATCTACTTCATGCTAAACCAGCATGAAGTAGATTTATTAAACAAAAAACAAACATTTTCCTCCGTTTTTAATGATCATCCTCAGGTTTACACCATGTAGATCACAGAATACATGTTTTTAAAAAGAACAAAAAACTTACTTGTATTTTTGAGTTATTTGTTTATTAAATTGTTTATACTATGTGCTCTAAGAAAATAAAAATTTTACATTGAAGAAGAAAATATTAGTGTTGCATTCATGCTTTTTGTTTTTTTTTAAAAAAACACATTTTATTAGTTCTGTGTAAACCCGAGGATGACCATTAAAAATGGAGGAATGTTTATTTTGGCCAAAAGCCATTGCTCTTAAAATTTTATCTGGTAAGAACCTGGTGTGAGATAATTATTTCTTTCATGCTCTAATTTTCATATAATTTAGCTAATATAAAATTAATGAAATATATAACAAATTTATGAAACAAAAATTATTTGTTTAAATGCACAACTGAACTATATCATTCAAATAACTTCTGTTATCTTTTGTTTAGGGATAGTAAAAAAGATAACCTGTATCACTAGTTGCAATCTTTTGATTTCTTCATTTAATAGTCAGTTTTTTAAATATTTAAAAAATAGTTTTTGTGAACTGCACATATCATAATAATACAAATAGCACAATCTTATTTATTATTATTATGTTTGGTTTAGTGGGTTATATTTGGTTGATACCGGTGGCTGTGTACTATGCTGGACCAGAGTCAAGGCATAGCAACCAAAAAACAAAAATTAAATAAGTATGTCAGTGTCTGTATTCAGGAATTTCCTAACAATGTGGCATGTATTCAATATAGTGGCCTTCTGTAGTGTGAGGTATGTATTTCTATTCAATTGTAATGTTCCCAGGCTTTTGTGTAGTGTGTGTGGTATCACACCTGTACAGGAGAGAACAATAGGTACAATAAGCACCCTATCCATCCTCCACAGATGCCTTATTTCCTGGGCGAGTTCTGTGTACTTGCTAATTTTTTCAGTGCACGTGTTTTGTGCATTGTTAGTGTTTGGAATGGCTATGTCTATAATGTATGTGATTTTATTGTGTTTGTCAATGAGTGTGATGTCTGGTCTGGTGTGGTAAATTGTTTTATCTGTGATTATGTCTCTGTCGTAGTACATTTTGTGCATGTTGTTTTCCAATACTGTCTGTGGAATATACTTGTAGTATGGTTCGTGAATGTCTACTAATTTGTGTTTCTTTGCAAGCTTTTGGTGTACTATTTTTGCTACTTGATTATGTCTGTGTAAATAATCTGTCTGTGCCAAGACCTTGCACCCAGAAGTGATGTGTTGTATAGTTTCTGGCATGATGTGGCATTTTCTGCATGTGTCATTTGTGAGTGTTGTATCTTTGAGTATGTGTTTTCTGTAGTTTTTAGTATTTATGACCTGATTCTGTATGGCAATCATGAATTCTTCTGTCTCCCCAAAAAGGCATTCCTCGATCTAACCAGCTGTTTGACGCAGTTTTGTCAACAAAAACCTGGGCCAGGTCATAAGGATGCCTGCCATGGAGTGCCTTTCAAGCCCACGATTGCTTGATGGTGTCTATGCTTTTTATGTGTTGTGTCATGTCTGTATGTTGTGAGTGTAAGTTTAATGGTGTGTTATTTGAGTCTGCTAGAGTTATTGCTTTATGTAATTGTGATGTTTCTTGTTTTCTGTAGAATATATTATTATTATTATTATATTATTATTATTATTTCAAAATCACAAGTGTTGTGACTGAATTTGAAACTGGATGAATCTGTTGAAACTGTACAAAATATAATAAATGTGACATTTCTAATCTAATAATAGAAACAATAATAATAATAAGAAATTTTAATGGTATGAACTATAAATGATAATTTTGTTATCATAACAATGTGTTGTGTTGTAGAAAAAAAAAACATCAAACAAAAGCTTGCAGTTATGCATAATAATATACTGTGAGATTCTGCAGGGGGGCAATTTAGTAATGAGATTAATTGGTTAAACTAATATGCAGTTAATATAGAAGTGGAAAAAACCCACTTTCCTTTCCCACCACCTGGCATTGCCAGTGACCTCTGATCCGATTGATAAGGACAATCAAATAACTATACAAATCATCAATTTTAATGATATTTTGAATAAGTGTCAAGAAAAGCTTAACAATATGGTTATTAATGAGGGAGAAATTTCAAAATCAGTTAAATTATGAGGTAAGAAGAGTCCCAACACCTTGATGGTGATGTCTAAGAACTTTGAATTTGGTGCTTTATATGGTAAGAAGAGTCAGACTGCTCCAGCTGATGCAATGACACATCTTGAACTTAGACTACAGTAAATCAAAGTTACCTGACTTCTCTCCCATGCTCAATGCATGTAAAAGGGGCTAGAACTCAAGCCTTGGGGCGGACATCAACAGTAGACATAGGTGGACCCGACCCACCATAATAGAGGTGGACATTCTCCAAGAAGCGACAGACCCAGCTTCTGTCCGCCCAACTCTAGTCTTCTCTATGAAATTCAATGACAGCCTGACACTACCTCAACTAGATCCATGATCGTCTCCCCGACATTTTATGAATAGGATCCATCATACATCATCAAACATCAAGTTATCTTCATGAGGTATTGTACTTAGAATTGTAGTTCCATTTGTAAACTCACTCTCTCTTGGTCCATTAGTTGTTAACTAGTTAGAGTGTAATCTCTCCCTATGTATTTAACCTATTTTTGTTCCATATTAAATTTGTTGTTTTATTTAACTGGTGTTGATGTTGGTTATTACTCGGAGAATGGACACCTTATTGACTTACCAATGACCTCTCCACTCAACTTATAGCCCTCCTAGCCATCCAGTGACATCAAGACTGGATCTCGCCAATCCGGGCACCTTACGAGAGTCAAGTCTCACTGACTGACCCGCAGATTGAATCTCACAATATCATTCCAATCAATTTTATATATGTGACATTATACAGATTTTTTTTTCTTGTATGTACTGTTTTGTGTTTGTTTATATATGTTTATATATTTCATTAATTGCATATGATAGTCATCCAATGATAATTAATCAAACACATACTACTGAAAACATATCTTATGTTGAAGATAAGTATATTTTAAAATAAAAGCAATTAAAATTTTTACACAATTGAATTTTTTAAAAGTTTTTAGAATAACGATGATTATAAATGTTTTTCTCATATAGGCCTAATTATGTATTGTAGCATTGAACAGAAAACATACTCGGCAAATTAATACTCAAAATAATCAACACCTAATCTGTTGCCGAGGGAGTTTATTTAAAAAACGAACGTTTTTGATCTACTTCATAGATCATCTTCAAGTTGAAAAAAACGAATATGGAATAACTACAAAGAATAGAACATTAAATTTAAAATTCAAAAGTATCGACAACTGAGTAATTAAGTAAAATAATTAAAGTGTAAAAATACCAATTGTAAAAATAAATAACATTGCTGAGAGAGTTTATTTAAAACGTTCGTTTTTTAAATAAACTCCCTCGGCAATGGATTAGGTGTTGATTATTTTGATTATGTATTGTAGATCATTAAAGTTAGCTGAATATATTGAAAATAAGTAGCATGATGATCTAATTTCATTTTAATAATTTAGTTTTATGATTTGTTGTACTTTATGTAATAATTTATATAACAAAGTTTAGAGTTATTGTTAAGCTTCAAATTCCAATAAAATTGTTTTAAAATTTTAGAACAGTAAGAGTATGGCTAAAACGAGACACTGGACAATATTGGCCAAGTATTTGTCATACCATGCCTTGTAAGTTAAAAATACTTTTAAAGTTAAACTAATTAACATTATTTTATTTATAATCTAAATTATTACTTTTCATAATATGCATTATTTTAAATTAGCTCCAGCAACTGCAATGGTATATAATCCAGAAACAAAAAGACTTTTTATTGGTATGGAAAATGGATCTATATCAGTAAGTATATTTAATATGTATTGTAATATAATATAATAATTTTCTAGATAATAAAATTCAAAACTGATTTTGACTATACTTTCTGATTTTATTACTAATTAGAGTAACTAAAAATATTTGCTAAGTTGAAATTAATGAATTTTCAAATGTACTATTACTGAGTTTCGAAAATAACTGCAGGAAATAATTCACAAAAAACTTACACCTTTATAAATCCAGCAACAATTTTAATAAAAATAAAAACATTTTCAATCAGTTTCATTGATCTTTTTCAGTTGCATAATATAAAGGAACAGAAGAATAAAAGAATGTAAATAAAAATTTAAAAGAACATAAGTACAGATTTAAAAGAACAAGAATTCAAATTTAAAGATGTTAGCCTGAAAATTTATTATTTTTAGGCTAATATGAATAAATACATGAATAAGTAAATAAATACAATAAATAAATAACAAAAGTACATGCAAAATTAATAAAAATGAAAATAAATGAATAACTATGCATTTAATAAAACAACTAAATAATTAAATTTCATAGATGGATTGCCATTCATTAGACAGATTGTCCACATGATTGATACACTTGGATTTTTTATGAGCCTTATAAATTTCTAATTTTTCTAGATAACTTATCAGGGTCATATCTAATATAAATACTATGCTTTTTTGCTTGCTCCTAGTTTATGTGTATGTCCTGATATTGCAAGTAAGTTGCCAGTGTCATGTTGTTGAGATTTTTTTTCAATTGTATACAGTACTTATGTTTCCTGAGTTGTAAATTACATCCATTGGCACTGCATAGACTAGTTTTGATTTGAATCATTAGTCATTTATTGAGATGGAATAAATCTCTGAGGCTGAATTGAAGTTATATGGTTTATAATTTCTTAGGATTTTGAAGATTATTGGATTGCACTGATAAACTAATGTGATATTATTAGCATCTGCTGCTTTCTTGTATATCTTTCTTAAAGTTGGGATATAATTTAAGACGATTTTTCATTTCTGGTTCACTGATGTATGTTTATATTTTGATGCCTGAAAGGTCACAATCAAATTTTGAATTATTTTAATTGGATAATTGCTCTGCAATTTTTAAGATGTAATTCAGCTCCATTATTGTGTCCTGAATGTTGGTACAATGGGTATATGCTTTTCTTATTGATGACCTAAGGGCTGAGAATTTGATATGACTGGGATCTATGGAGTTGTATGAGATTAAAACAGATTGAAAACATGATTTTCTGTATACCTTGGTTCAAATTTCTCCATATTTACAAGAGATGAAAATGTTCAAAAAGTTTACCATTGATGCACTTTCTTGATCCAATGTAAGAGTAACTAGTAGGAGTTGTCGTTGATTGCTTTTAAAAACTGCTGTATGTTTGGTTTATTCCACCACAAGATGGAAGATATTAGCGAGGTTGAGGTCAAAGTTTTAAACGTGAAAATGTGTACGTCGGATGTTCAGCGCTGCTTTCCTGTAAGCCTAAAAGTTTTACAATGGTGTTTGGATAGTCAGTGGAATCATGCTCGACATTCCAAACACCATTGTCAAACTTCTAAGCTTACAGGAAAGCAGAGCTGAATGTCTGACGTACACATTTACATTTAAAACTTTGACCTCAACCTCGCTAATGTCAACATATTTAGCGTATAAGATGATGAGGTGTTGAAATTTGGGCAGAATATTGTTTTCTAAATGGTACACTACTAACTTACAAAGTATTGTTGAAGTGGGATTGCCCATAAGCATGCCTCTTCCTTGTAAGTATACAGTGGGTGATCGGTTAACGAACATAATCCGTTTCAAGACTTTGCTTGCTATCCGAATTGTTCGTTAACCAATTATCGATTTACCACAGGTTTCTATGGGAATTTGATTAATTCATTCTGGAGACTCCCAAAAAATAAAAAATATATACTTTCTTAAGTATATTTATTAATTAATTAAGTAATTAATCGCATTGTAGTTGTAGAGATCCCTAAGCCTATTAACCTCAACCTGGTTTGGATGCCATTTTAAGACCGCTGTTCTGACATCCTCCCACTTCTTCAAAAGATCTTTAATAGCAGATATTGGCATCAATCCTTTCTTTCAGAAGAAAATGTAAAAGGATTGTTTCTATCAGAAATATAAAGGCTGGAATTACAAGGGAGAGTTTCAAAGTTTGGGGGAATACTATCCGATCAGTATATACTGGGTTGAATGTCGATGTCAACATCTCCCCACTCCAAAAAGTTTCGAATTGTTGCCTGAAGACAAAGGAAGACCAATCGATATTCGTTATTTTACGTCACTTCTTCTTGTGTTTGTTCTGTGAAGTGTTCATTATCCGAACATGTGTTCATTGTCCGACCATAAAAATCTTTTGCGAAAATGTTCGTTATCCGATTTGTTCGTTAATCGATCACCCACTGTATTTTATTCTCAAATTCAAAGAATGACGTATAACATATTAGATGCACAAGTTCCAGTATATGTTTGTGATGTTTATGTGCCTCTTTGATGTTGGTAAACAGGAAATCTGTTTTTGCACAAAAGCATGGAAGTATTTTTAGACTGATATAGTGATTTAAAGTCTAAAACAGTCATATGTTTGTTGTCTACCAATGAAATTGTATTGAGGCCTTCTATAAATTGCAGAGAGTTGTTGATGTAAAATGGATGGTAAGTAGCTTTAGTGTGGTAGAACTTGACTAGCTGTTTTTCAATCAAAAATATTGGAGAATTACATTTCTTGATCTAATTACATTTCTCATTTTTGGTTTCCTGGCTTGTGAGTCTTGGTGAATGCAAAAATCTGTGATGTTTTTGGTGTGTGGACTGTAGAATAGTGCACATGTAATAGCCATGCCAAAGGAGTGGAAGTGAATCTTTTAACCGTTTGCTGTAAAGATTCCAAAAAATTGTTGGGTGCTAATTGACAGTCCATGGTTCTGATATATTCTCTTAACTTCTCATTGTACGTTGATTTGAGTAATACCACATCTTTTGACTTATCCACTTTGTAAGTACTATGTTATTATGTTCCAACCACTGACTTGCATAGAATATTCTGAAAATGTTTTGTATTGGAATTAGTCTTTGTGTCTCGTCTGCAGAGCAGTCTTTTGTTATTTGTTTGTTGTATTTATTTATTCATGTATTTTATTATTTTTAGCTAATGTCCTTAAATTAAAATTCTTGTTCTTTTCAATTTGTATTTACATTCTTTTATTTTTCTGTTCCTTTATATTCTGCAACTGAAAAAGATCAGTGAAACTTGCTTGATATATAAAGGTGTAAGTTTTTTGTATACTATTCTTTTTAAGAATTTACTTATGAATTTATGAATTAAATTATGTAACCAAGTACAGATTATTAATCACTTATATCAACACAATTTTTGGAATTAAGATTCAAATGTGGTTGTTTTTTTGGAGAATTTGAATGTAACTATCACTAAAACTATAAAATGTAACAACTTTTTCTTATATATCAGGGATTTACTGAATTCTAAAGTGTTTTTTGGAGATTCTTTAAAAATGCATGCATTCTACAAAAATTATTTGGCTATGTGCTGCTTTCTTTTCTTGAATTTAATTTTTAAAATGTGAAATACACCAGCTTCAAATTGTCCAAATTTTATGCCCCCCAAAAAATACATCAAATACAGTGGTACCTCAGGATATGAAATTAATCCGTTCCGACACTGAGATCGTATCATGAAAATGTCGTAAGATGAATAATTTTCCCCCATACAATTACATGTAAAACCAAATAATTCGTTCCAACATGAAAAAAACACTAAAATTAAAGCTAAGTAATACATTTAAAAAAATAATAATAGTTATAGTAAGGAAAACACTGAAAGATGCATTTTGTAGTTGTAAATGTATAAATAACCGTAATAGAATAATAATTGATAAAAAAAATGTAGTTTTATTTGCACTTTACCTTTGAGGATAGACAATGGTGGAGGTATAAACTGGTGGCGGAAGAGAGGGAGAAGGGAAATGATACTAAAACTTAACTTACATAACATAATGTAACAATAACTTAAAAATAACTTAAAAAAGATTAAAAAAAATTAGTGTTGTTTTATATATATTTTTTAAAATTTTTATTCACTGCTTTTTGCTTTCTTTCCTTCACTTCCACCTAGCACTTTCACTGGATAGGGATCGCTTGGTAAAATATCTATCCAAAGAGGTTTGGCTTTGCCTACTTTTTAAAATGTTTCTAAAATGACTTAGGGAAATGTCATTACTCTGAGCAGCAATATGGCCAGTGTGAACCTTTTCGGAATGTTTCTTTTCAATAAAATCAGTCACTTTCTGATAATATCTGAAGATTTCCTTTATCGAGTGAGATCCTTCCATGATGAAGCAAACACGCGGACTGAGACCAGCGAACAGAAGTGAATAAAAAATGGGGCTGCGAACTAATGTAACGTCGTATGGTGAGTTTTTGTTTGTATCGTGGAGCAAAAATACGTTTGAATTTTGTGTCGTATCCTGAAAATTTCGTATGCTGGGGCGTTCGTATCCTGAAGTACCACTGTAAACAGCATTTTTTAACATTAATTTAAATACAAATTTTAAAAGAAATAAGAACAGGTTTGAATTGTGTAATAATTCAAATCTATTATTTAGATAGTACTTGTTACATTAAGTTGATTAATTTGAATTATATGTAATTTCAAAAATGTTTGAAATTATAAATGTTTATTTTCAGGAATTTATTTTATCAGATGACTTTAACATCTTGACTCATCAGAGAAATTATTTAGGTAATGTATTTATTATTTGAAAAGTTATTAAAATTTTAATTATTAGAAATAAAGTAAAAATGTTTTTCTTTGCTTGCATTTAAAATTATTTGAATTTTTATAAAATCTTGTTTATAAAATCGTACTGCCTTTTTATGTTACCAGCATAGAGGTATGAAAGAGTACATGTCGAGAGTTGATATTTGGCACAGAGTATTAGATGCCCAAATCATTTGCACATAAAAAGTCCAGATTCATAGGTAGTCAGGGGACCAAGAACTGAGTCAAAATAAAATACAAAAATAGCGACCCTCTTCTTCTACAAACAGGCAAACTTCTAACTTCTACAAACAGGCAAAACAGGCACCTCACCCCACTGAAATCAGGTGAGGGAGAGTACCACCAACAGTCATTCTAAGAAGTGAACTCTGACCTTAGGACTGAACACGTAGTTTCTTCTATGTTAAATAAAATTTGAAATCTAATTTTGTAAATTTGGGAGTGCTTCAAATATGACATTAAAACAGTTTTATGTTGTTACAAGTGGGCTTTTTTAAACATTATTTAGTATAGTAAATCGTGGGACTGATAAAAATTTGACGTTACATTAGGGTTGTTGTTACATCGGATGACGTTATAATTGGGTTAAACTGTATATTGTTTGTGAAAAATAAAAAAACAATTTCAGACTATACAATAACCATGATTATTTTTTTTCAAAAACGGGAAATTTTCGTTATACATTGACAAAAATTCAACTCGGGCTGACATGCAACAGAGAGAAATTTCAAAATTGGATAGGTTAATTTCATTGAAAATGCATCATGGCCAGCGAAGTTTGAACGATTGCACCCAAAAGCAGTGATACCAAAGAAGATTGGAGAATGAGAATGAGACCCGCCTAGGGTTTCTCAAACGGGATCCCGGGATCCCGGTTGTTTTTTTATCCCGGGAAATTTTTCTTATCCCGGGAAATCCCGCAAATGTCTAAAAAATTTCCTTTTTTTTTATTTTGTGTTAAGGTTGAGGAATTTTGCAAATAGAAAGCATAATTAACTCATTCACTGTCAGAATACATTTGTATTTATTAATTTTAAACCTACCTATTAGTTTTTTTTAAATTTTTGCTCATTATAGCATGTCACAAATGGTCAATAATAAATATATAGCTTATTTGTGGCAGGACTATAAAAATTCTTTACTTGTCGGAACCTGTAATATCTGGAATAATTGTGCTTACGCTGTCTTGAGTTTTAACCATGCCCAGTAGCTTCAATAAATGCCTGACACCAGATTGTGCAAATTGGGCAATGATACAAACGAGTACAAAGTCTGCAAGTATGAAGTTTTTCTTCATAAACCTGATTATTAAAGCCAAATGAATTGCCGAATTATCGAGCTCTAAGTTTGATGCCGCTATTAAAGCAGCCAAGGTAGACAAATCGAGAATACTAGAGAGCGAAAGAAGTACTACAATCTCGAAAACGAACTCGAAAGCTTCCAGGCTACAGGTGAAAAAACACATAATATCTGTCTTCTCTTAAATGCATTAAACACTATTCCAATCACATCAATTGAATCGGAAAGGGCATTCTCGGTGGCAAGACTTTTCATTACTAAAATAAGAATTAGAGTGAGTTATCGGAGTATTGACCATCTTTGCTTTTTAAAATCTTATAAAAGTTTGCAATATTTTGTATTATATTTTATTTAAAAAACGAAAATTACCTTCTAAATTAGAAGTTCATTTTTTTTAATTTTTAACTCAATTCAAAAAATTTTTTTTTGTTGTTGTTGTATGCAGTTTCCAGCAAACTTTAATTAATTTTTTTCTATTTGTGAAAATTTCTACGTTATTTAAAGGTAATTTTTATTATAGGCCTATAGACCTTACACAGCATTATTAATATGATTTTGGAGGTTACAGAACTTTAAAATTACTTTAAAAAATGGAAAATAATTATATCATTTGATTTCAAGATATTTTGTATACCTTAAAAATAATTAATTCTATCTCGGGATTTCCCAGGATCCCGGGACAAGCAAAAGACCGGGAAATGAGAAACTCTAGACCCGCCTTTAGCATCAAAGTGATTCCGCTTAGTAATGAGTCTCCAAGACATAGTCTTGTCCCAAATACGGTTTTACTGTTTTACTTGTTTTCTAATTGTTTTGCTATCAAGAGCACCATGTTTAGTAGCTAGATTGGAATCTCACACAAAGATATTTCCCTGAACATGGAATTTATGTTTTGCATAATTGTATTCTCTTTACTTGCAGATAAACTTTTTAAAATTTTCTATTATTGAACAATTTTTAAATTTAATGTTTTAGTAATTTTTTAAAAAATAAAATGGAAAATTACTGTACTTTAATGATTTATAATTGATATTGATTCTCCTAATTAATAAAATCAAGAAGCTGAATATCAAATCCAACAATGTTTTCATAAAAATCAGTTTGGTATCACTGCTGTATTTAATTCAAAACTATTAACAAAATATTTTTCTTGATTAATTTTTATTTTTAATATATTGATTAAAATATAAAGAAATAGTTACACTGTTAATTAAAAATTTATTATAATTCTTCTAATTATTGTGTACTGTTGTATAGGTATTAATAAATAAATGAATAAATAAAAGTAATTAATATCAATTCAAATAATTGATAAAAACAAGTATAATCAAACCATATTTTATTTTTAAAATATTTTAAAAATTAAAAAAAAAATTTTTTATCGAAAAGCCAATTATTAGAAACATTGAAAAATACAATGTATTCATTGAATTACAGGTATACCTCGACTTACGTCGTTTCGAGTTACGTCGTTCCCGATTATACGTCGTTTGTCAAAAAAGTATATGGAAAAATAAAAGCCAAGTTTAAGTCATTTTATTCGACTTTACGTCTGTCCGCCACAAATATTGAAGTCGTAATATCACTAGAAAAGTGTTTAAAGCACATAAAATCATATTAAAATATATACATTTACAAGTATGTACTGTATTTACAGTATATGCATTCGTAAATTTAGATTACTTTTTTCTGTACTATATTAAAAACTAAAATTTGTTTTTAAGCTTAAAATAGATTTTTATTAACCATATATTATTAAAAATGCATTAATAAATAAAATACAGAACCGGGAATGGTAATTTATGGTTTAGCCTAGTGACAAGTAGATTCGGAGACAAGTAAATTCGACTTACGTCGTTTTCCTGGAACCAATTACCGACGTAAGGCGAGGTATACCTGTATATCTGATTTTGTTGTAGATACAAGAAAAAACTAGAATATTAGATTAAATTATTTGTAAAATGATGATAATCTATAGAAATTGACAAATTGAATTGATTGAGAAACATGTAGAAATCCATACTTATGATAAACTTAAGAAAAGTATGAAAAACTTAAATCATTACATGCAATCTTAACTTTTCTTTTAATTGAAGAAATAAAAGATTGATAAAGATTCTTTGTGTTGGACCTCATAACATTTTTATTCTCAATCTATTAATAAAGTTTTTTTTTATTAACAAACATTATTACTTTTTCTAGCTCATCAAGGGAGAGTAACAGGTGTGGAATTTTCTTTGTGGTCTGAATGGGTATTAAGTGTTGGCAGAGATAAATATTTTCAATGGCACTGTTCAGAAACTGGACAAAGATTAGGAGGTTTTCAGTGTAATGCTTGGTGTACAGCACTTCAGTATCCTTTTATTTATAATTAATAAGTTTTTTACAAAAAATAATCAATTGTTTTTTTATATTTTAGCTATGTCAAAAAACAAAATAATTTATTTATATTATTTGTTCCAAAAGAAATGGTTCAAATGATATTTACAAGAAAATATTATTATTTAAATTTTAAAGTTTATTTATGCAAATCAGAATTTCGACATTTGAAGATATCTTTTATATATACCAGGTGTATAAGCTTAAATCTGCTGTTTGCTAATAGATGGCGTAAGCGAGCGTATTAAGTTACCATGACGACGCCATATTGTTTTTTTGATGATTTTGACATCTATCAACATTAATCAGTGCACATCATCAGATATTTCATACAACAACATATACAGTAGAGCGTCGATTTTCCGAATCAATTGGGGACTGGGGTTGTTTGTATAACTGATATTTCGGATAACCGATTTATGTACGAAAAAATAGTTTAATGTATCCGATGTTAAAATTTTTATCTGTTGCGTGTCGCTTCACGTTGAATTTTCATTGATGTTAAGCCTAACAAAGACTATTATATTGTTAAAAATTATTTTTTTATTTTGTACAAACAAAATAAATATATTTAAAAATATAAAAACAATAAAAAATTATACTTCAGATGTTAATTTAGTATCAAAAACGTAAAATATTTGAGTAGCCCAAGACATAGCCAAAGATTGAAGCGCCACAGCACTGGCGAAAATTTAAATTTGCCGACTGGAATTCTTTCGGATGATTGACTTTCGGAAAATCGACGCTCTACTGTAT